ATGTGTATACAGTTAAATCGACCGAACTTCTTTGTGCAGATTTGAGCGTCCTTAACAACGGTCAATAGATCATTGACAGCGGTCTGTCTGTTCTGGACTTTATATACAGGCCCATTCCCAAACCGCCCCCTGCACCCTACCCCTCCGTTTGCGCGTTCACGCTGAGGGTCCGCCATATTAAGGGCTGTTCCAAAGTAACGAGTGTGGAGCGGTGTGGAGGGGGACTGGGCTATCAAGCCCTCAAACAGCGAGTCTGCAGCGGTGCTGACTTAAGACCGGTCTCTACCTGACCGGAGTCACGCTGTGTGTGTCCGTCAGGAAACACGCTGTTTAGTAGTTCCAGCAAACATCCACTGATAAACTGCGATTTTAACAACCTCATGATAACCTCATATGTTTTTAACTTAGGATCATACCTCTGTTTAGTCTAGAAAAAGGTAAATGTGTGCATTTTATTATAAAGTTGTGTATATTTACAGACCGTTACAAAAACTAAGAAGTTTATAAACATCAGGTGTAAAACTAAAAGAGCTTTACAAAAAAGTAACACAATTAAAGATGTTTGGAGTTTTATTTGAGTTATTAATTTACATTTTTTGTCAAAGAGATGCTGATTTGAAACCATTGTTACAGTTATACAGTTACGGCATTTCCTGTTTCTGCCGGAGAGAGGGGAGTTTGTCCCAAAGCTTGCTGCTGTATTTACTCCCTCCATCTGACAGGAGGGAGCCTCGTTGAGCTGCGAGTGTGGCTACAGGCGGAGTTCACTCCGTCACGGAGGGGTAGGGTCGAGGGAGTGGTTTGGGATTGGGCCTCAGTCTATGGTTTTGGATTAACAACGTGTCACGTGTTCTGAATTGACCAATCAGAATCGAGTATTCAACTAAACCATGTAATAAATATTTTTTAATAGAGGTTTCAAATCAAATCTTATTTCAATCATCAGTGACATGTATGCAGCGTCTCACAAACACAGTGAAATAATGTATTACACTGTTAAGTATGACACATAGGTCAAATATATGGAAGATTCAAGTATTTAATTAATTGTTTTTGCCAAATAATGATTGCCTAAATAACACCATTTCATTATTTGTATAACAGTAAATTTCCCCAGTATAAAATCCGATTGGCAATTTATTTAGAAATAAAACAGATTTTCTTCCTTCATGTTAACTTAGGCAAACACAACTTGGTCAATTTATTTAAACAGTAGCAAGTCGATTAAAAGCTTTAAGCCAAAGGAAGCTGTGATCTCACTGGATCGTAAGGGAGAGGTTTTGAACATTTTGTCCTGTTAAAATGAAATAGCATTTAACAGCAGCTCATCACAAAGATCCTAACTGGGGAAGTGCATTCATACCCCCAGATTAGTGAGGTGAAATCTTCATTTTAATATTTTGATGATAATACTTTCCTATTTTTACTTCAGCAACATTTTGAATGCAGGACTTTTACTGTAACAGAGTATTCCTACACTCTGGTACTTCTACTTTTACTCAAGTACAAGACCTGAGTACTTCTACTTTTACTCAAGTACAAGATCTGAGTACTTCAAGTACAAACTGAGTACTTCTACTTTTACTCAAGTACAAGATCTGAGTACTTCTACTTTTACTCAAGTACAAGCTCTGAGTACTTCTACTTTTACTCAAGTACAAAGAGTACTTCTACTTTTACTCAAGTACAAGATCTGAGTACTTCTACTTTACTCAAGTACAAGATCTGAGTACTTCTACTTTTACTCAAGTACAATATCTGAGTATTTCTACTTTTACTCAAGTACAAAGAGTACTTCTACTTTTACTCAAGTACAAGATCTGAGTAGGCTACTTCTACTTTTACTCAAGTACAAAGAGTACTTCTACTTTTACTCAAGTACAAGATCTGAGTACTTCTACTTTTACTCAAGTACAAGACCTGAGTACTTTTACTTTTACTCAAGTACAAAGACTACTTCTACTTTTACTCAAGTACAAGATCTGAGTACTTCTACTTTTACTCAAGTACAAGAGAGTACTTCTACTTTTACTCAAGTACAAGATCTGAGTACTTCTACTTTTACTCAAGTACAAGATCTGAGTACTTCTACTTTCACTGAAGTATAAGATCTGAGTACTTCTCCCACCTCTGATTAGAACCGGACAGAGCAGATTGCACTGAACAAGCTCTTGTGAAATGATTGATATCGTGTCACGTAAACTCCTCCTACGACATTATATGATGTGATGTAAACCTCCTCGGCCTAAAGACTCCTTCAGTTCCTGTTTTGCAGCAAAGACTCTCGAACTGTGGAGTCGGAGGGTCTATTTCTGAAGAGCTCAAACCCAGGAGGATGTGGCCTCTGAATGGTTTCCCTCTGCTCTGCTGTGCTTGATCTGGGATGATACAGGACACTGATGACTGCAGCAGATTGGTGAGACTCATGTCTATTGGTCTTCATGTTTAACCTCTTCATATGCCTTAACATGCTTACAGCGCATTACATGTTTTAGTGTCAGTCGTGCAGAGAAGCCAACACAGTTATTCATGCAGTCTCTCACTAGTAGGAACAAGCTTCTGTTGCATAACTTCCATTATTTGTAATTGCAATGTGTCATTCAAGCTCTGCAGATTTCCTGTTCCCCTTCTTTTAAAAGCAGCTGAAGACTGTTATCAGGGCATTCAGAATTACAAAACATAACGTTTGTGTGGCAAAGTATTTAACAGATAATTGAGTCTCGTTGGTATATCTTTTTCCTTATTGAAAGATAAGATAATGCAATAATTTTGTAAAGAGTAAAGGGCAGCTGTACACCAGAAGTATCTCCATTATTCCCCCACTTTGTGCAATCAAAGCAACACATGCATTTAATGATCTTTATTTTAAAAGACCCATCCAATAGAGAGCAATGATTTTGCATTGTGGCAGCAACAGTGCATTGTAGGGCTAGACAAAATAGCCTGACAACAAACAATGGAGTAACACCTGCTTCCTCAGTAGACAATTAATCCATTTGTCCTGCCTGCAGAAGCTGAATATGACAGGTAGTCAGAGCTGCTGCACATTATGAGCTGTGTTCATGGTTCAGTGTGCTGTATGTGCATGTAGTCTTTTCATTCTTTGCAGGAGCTTAAAATAGTTGTACTGTTATATTACTGTTGCTTCTTTTAGAATAATCCCTGCTAGTGCATGTGTGTGTAGCTAGGCTACTAAAGTGATTAACAACAAGGGTATTTAGTCAGCTGGAACTTTTGAATACTACATTGTTGGCAATTCGGGGTGTGTGAATACTGAAATGGTTTGCTAGCTAAGTAGTTTAAACAGAAATTGCTAGCTAAAAGTAATGGACAAACATTTCAAACTGTTAGCTAAAAGAAATGGATAACACATTTCAAGTAATAAACTCAAATTACTGAAGAGCTAGCTTAAAGTCATAGATAAAGCAGATTTAATTGTATGCTAAATGTAATGCACCAACAGTTCAACTTGTTAGCTAAAAGTGATGAATGCACAGTTGGTAAAGCTAGCTTAAAGTAATGGATACAACAGTTAAAACAAGTTAGCTAAAAGTGTTGTAAATAATCATTTGAAAGTGTTAGCTCAAAGCTGTGGATATTCTGTTCATCACTGTTCAATGGTTTCAACAGATGATATAGCTATAAAGAATAATGAATGAGTTGAAATGGCTAGATACATTAACGGATGAACAGTTGAACAGTTAGATTGAAACAAATCATTTAATTCTTATCTTCTATCCATTCATTGTATTAACACATTTACAGTAAAAGCTGACGGTCAGTGTTAATGAAGAGTAGGATAACTATAGCTGTGAACACACTCTACTGTGTAGAGGCTTTATTTTGAGGTGCAGCTTCTCTCATTGTCCTTTCTTAACGGCTCATTCATATTTCCCTGTAGGCCTTTTCCTGTTTTGACGAGCCCAGGTGACCCCAGCTCTCCAGTTCTGTCACTGAACACATTATTCAACGACACATCCAACACAGCTGGGCACAATCGCTGCTTCCTAATGCACATCGACATCCTGGAAGCCACATAGGAGGAAACGCTTCTTTCTTATCAAGAGGTAAATCTCATTGCAGTCTTATTGAAACCTTTCTTTGCAAATTGGTGGAGAAATATTATTAAAGGGGACCTATAATGCACTTGTTGATGTCTTTTATATATTATGTGTATACCGCATACATAGTGTCCCCGGTGTCAGGAGACTCAACAAGTGTCAGAAAACAAAAGTTCCCTCTCTCTTTTCCTCCGTACCCAAATCTCTAAAAACGGGGGAACAACGGAGCTGATCCAGATTTGCCGATTTGACGTAATATCTGAAATGTAGGCGGGCTTTAGACCCACGGCCCTATCAGAAACAATGCCCGATGTGTGTTGGACGTAATATGGTCTTTGTTTACATTAGCAAGCATCGCTAACACTCAGAGCTAACCTGTACTGGAGAGAGCATGTGGAAAAAAGCTGGAAATAAAAAGGAACTCACCTTGTGGTAAACCTGAGAGAGAAAAAGAGTTTGAGCTCCATACTGTTTCAGAAATAATCCTTGAAGTGGTTTGGAACATGATATGGCAGCATTTAGCTGTATCTCGTATAATTCTGAGCGGGCACAAGCTCCACCTCCTCTTTATTCAAGCTAAGGACCCCAAACCTGCAGTTCTCTAACAGCTGAAACAGAGGGATGTGAGGGATGTCTAAAATGCATGATCTGTATTTTGAGCAAAACACTTCATAGACATGTTTTTCATATATTTGTATCTGAGACCCATAATACATGCCCACAAATAGCGTGATGGAGCCCTTTAAATCTCCCCCGTGAAACACAACATGTTCTCTTTCATCGTGTGGTCTGTGTGGTACTCGCCTCTCATCAGATGCAGCCTAACCACAGGTGTCATGTGATCTGTAGAAAGCAAAGTGTTTTGTCCTTAACTCTAGATGGGGTTTTGTTGCTGTAACTTAGCTAAATGCCTGTTGTTAAAACCCCAAAATGGGAAGTCACGCTTGTGCAAGACTAATTTCCATCTCTGCTCTGAGTCAGCAGCTGCGGGAGGTTTTTAAGAATGAAGTAGAGAAGTAGGAGTTGTGACTGATGTTTTTGACCAGCTCATCTCCGGTTTGCTGCCACAGTCTGTGACTCACTCACAGCTTGGGGTAGGAAGTGGCACCGTGTCTCTGCCCTCACATATCTATTTTCTGTGAGTGCGACTGAGCCGTTAGCTCTACACTGTGTTTGATTGTCTCCTGAGAGGAACAATAATGATCATAAAGTGCTGGAAACGGCCATAACAGGAAGCTTTTTTAGGTTTTCCGGAACACAATCAAAGGCTGTAATTCTTGTTTTTTTTCTTTTGGGACTTCCTGTTGGTTTTTATCTCCTGTGGATGTTCACACAGCAGAAGAAGATGATGATGAAGATGGAGTCGAGCTCGTGCACGGAGGATCGGATCCAGCATGTCCTCGAGCGCTGCCTCTGTGGTCTGGGCATCGACACTCCGGATAAACAACTCTGGAACGGTAAGACTCTGCTTTTAATGGTAACATAACAAACACAATACATAATGTACCACAGGAGAAAAATACATGTGGTAAAAAGTACAAATGATAAGTTGAACCAATGTTGTTGAGAAAAGTTAGCACACAGTATTTTTTGCAATTCACAATCAAAACAGATTTCCGAAAAATTAAGAATCAAGATGAGCGTTAGCTAAGGAAATGAATAACCTGATACTTTGTGAAGTCTAATCATTCTTTCTTCAAAGAGTTTCTTGAACTTAACCACATTTAAATAAATAACCTGAAGTCATTTTCTTTCTCAGTTTGATTCAAATCAATGAAGTTTAGTTTAGTTTATGGTTTCGTGGACAGTCCCCTTTAATTAGCTCTAACACAAAAGAGTAAATGGGGCAGCCTTAGTCAACATGGTTCATTTCCAGCTATTCCAGGATAAAGGAGAACAGTGTAATGTCCACAGGACAGACAAGCACGGAGAGGCAAGGCGTGCTTCTTGATGTTACGAATGAAATATCCTTCTATGATTGTCCTCAGGTATTTCTCCAACAA